TCTMAAGGTCAACTAGCTGTGGAGGCCATCTTGAACAGGGCAGACTCAAACAGTTTTAGCAGCTGGAGATGCACATTTWATGACAATTTTTAGAACGTTTTGCTAAAATCTGTCCAGTGGTTGTTGAGATATTTTGTGAACAGACAGACAGCGTTAAATGCAGCATTAAAGTTTTAAACAAGGATTTATACCAGCTGTATGAGCTCAAGGTTTTTTGATGAATCCAAGCTGCTTCCTCACCAAAACTTAGATCAGTGTCTGTAATATCGACARAAGTTATAGACATTTTTGTGTTTGATAAGTWTGAATAGCYGAGGCGGTCATCTTGATTAGGTTAAGTGTTAGGGATGACTTTCAGCTACTACCACACYAAATCATAATTTGATTCCCRTAAAACTGACTGAGTTGTAACCATTTTTGCATTTGTCAAAGTTGAYTAGTTGTGACATCTTGAAATGAGTTGACTCCAAAGGCTAATCAGTTGAAGAGGACATCCGGTGATTCATTAAAATCAATCCTGAGTTTCACAAGATATTTTGCTAACAAACAAACAAACAAACATGCACCCCAGTTTTAATTCCCAGGTGGATCTCACTACTAAAACTGATGGGATCCTCTGACAAGTGCTTTCTCTTAGCTGYAAGTAGCTTTTCAAATCCCTACAAGAAGCTCAGATTGGAGGACAAATGAAAAAAACTAAAAACAAAAGGACTGGAATGGATCTGAATGAGGTCTGATTCGGTGGATCTGCAGAGAAAAGGAGGAAACAGCTGTGGAAGCTGAAGATTAGATTCCTGTCAGGCCTGTTCTCACATGCAGCTCCGCTCTCGGGGCTCCAGCTGCCAGCCCAGACTACCTCACTCATAACTCACCTCTACACCACCCCCCCAACAAAAAACTGCTGAACACCGATCCTGTCCGGATGACTCAGGGATCGGTTCTCTACATCTCCATGCTGCCTTTAAAATGTGGACTATTTAGATTTGGCAACCAGAGCACGCCACACTACTCTGTACGCCGGATGATTTAGCCTTGTGACATATGGTAAGAGGTGGGTGATTAAGCTTTTCTAAGGAATCACTAAAAGGTTTACAAGAAAGAGGAAACAAAAAAAAAAGGCACATCCACTGCAGCAATAATAATTTGGGACTAATTTAGACACAGATGAAGCCTGCTGCTGTGTCACAAAATCTCTTTATAGACAGATAAGGCTGTGAACGAAGTATGATGGTGAAACTGTGACAAACAGATTTATTTATTATCAGTATTCATCATGCTGTTGGAGAATATTAATAACTTTGCACCTTCACTGTCCAGGGCAGGCCGACACCAGKTGTCCTGCTGGGAATGCTGGACCTYTTAAGGGATGAATWAATTTTTGAAGAGGTATTCTGTCAGATAGTTATACCTGGTGCCTGCGTATACCTGTGTGCACACAGTGCTTTAGTTTCAACAGGTTCTCACGGCAAGATGATCCTGCTGATTTTTGGCATGATTTTGTCCTTCCGTCAATCTTAAGGCCCAATTATCATGATGGCTCTGAATCTAAATCTTATGCTGTATTCCTGCCGTTTGTGGTGTGTTAAGACTAGGGCTGCCACAAACAATTATTTTTATAGTCGATTAATCACCGATTATTTTTTCGATTAGTCGACTAATYRGATCWTACGTTAATTGAATATAAAACATACAGCTTTTTGCGCCAGAATGCTGCTGCTATTATTTAACCGTCGTTAGATTTTAGCTATATGCTAACTAAAAATAATTGCTGTGGAAGAC